ATTTAAAATAATTTAAAATGTAAAATATTTAAAAATATAAAAATAATATTTTATAGTAGAAAATGTATGCATTTAATTTTATAATGTAACTTAGAATATTGTAACATGCATATACTGTGTATATATATATAAATTGTTATAAAATATAGATCATACACATAATTTCTATTTATAATCTATAATATTTGGAATATTAAACTAAATTATTATACATTATTTTCTATTATAAATTATAGGATATTTTAATTACATTATAATTTAAAGTACTATAAAATGTATTAATTATATATTAAAAATCTGAAAATCTGATTGGTTCATGCCATTGTTGATGTTGCTCCAAGAACAAGTCCTACTTGGGCAAATCACGTTAAGTGTGAAATGCACCTTGTGCAAGTAGAATAAAAAGCTTCAATGTGGGGTCATCATGCAGATAATCGTGGGAAAGACCGGTACAAATAGCTGGAGAAGGCAAGAACCTTACTGAAATAAAACAGATGTATAATAAAACACAAATCTGATGATAACTGAAACATTTGCGAGCAATCAGACACAAATGATCTGCAAAGACTGCAACCCTGGGCCCTTCTCTCTCCCTCAACCACATCCACATATGCACACTCAAATGCAAATATCTATAATGAAAGGAAGTCGTCTTCATTCACAGTCTTGGTGGTCACGGGAGGGGGCTCTGAGGTTTCACTCCTTTTCACTACAGCATTCTGTATGCCCCTTTGTGCCTGCGCCAACCCTGAGCGAGACGAAGGAGAACAGGGTTGGCGCAGCGCCACTGAGGGCATTCAATCTCAGGAGGGAGAGGTGACGGGTGCATTGATGTGAGCGTGCATTTAAATGCATCCTTACAGTGGGCTGTATAAAGCAACCTGTCTATTCAGCCCCTCAGCTGTTTCTCATCCACCCTCCCAGATCTCAACACTCCCTTAATCGTGTTTGTTTCTTCTGCAAAACTTTGCATGCTATCTAAATTAAATTCTACACCCATTCTCTTGCCTTCTTTCCAACCCAACCCAATTTTCAGGGCTTTTAGTCAAGACCTTCCTTTCTTTCTTGCATTCTTCCGTTCTTATTTACCTCATCCACAGTCTCTCTCTCTCTCATGTTTCTAGCTGCAAAACCTTGGGACTGCGTCAGTAGTCAAACATTTTATGCAATCAATCATATTCATCTCATGTGAGCTGTCATCTCAAACAGAGCCTACAGCAATGAACCCGTTTACCCAGTATTAATATTATTATGTGAAATAAAGCTAAATAAAAGCAACTGCAACTGACAGGCTAAGTGCAACTGATAGGTTAAGTGAGTTAGTGTGTTTGATTTCAGAAACACAGACCAGATTACAAAACAAAAGCCACCAGGATACTTAAAGCGATAGTTCACCCAAAAATGAAAATTCTGTCATCATTACTTTCTTTTTTCTGTGGAGCACAAAAGAAGATGTTTTATAAAATATCTCTTCCTTTTCATCCATACAGTGAAAGTCAATAGGCTCCAGTGTTGTTTGGACAGAAGAAAGAAAGTCATACAGGTTTGGAACAACATGAGAGAGTACACTGAGGGAAAAAAACACTGGTGTAGAAACAATTTTCACTCAGAAATTTTACAAATAATTAGAATTAAACAGCAAGTAACACATCAAATGAAACATGAAATTTTGAAGTAGAAATACTGAAATAGTATTTTCTTGTAAAACAAACTCCAATAATTGTTTTTTTATTTATATCTTAGAAAAATTATAAAAAAAAATTTTCATACAATTCACATCGTGTCAATTCATACGAAATTGCCATGTTAAAAATAGTTATTTTTAAATTATGTTTTCCTGTGAGATCGGTTTAGGAAATCCAGTTCACTCTTGATTTCAAATTTTCCACACATAACACCAGATAACGATGAAAGCCCGTTTCAGCCACTGAATAATTTTTTTTTAAAAAGGTAAATGCGATGTTTTATCTCACAATTCTGACTTTTTTTCTCACAACTATAAAGTCACAATTGTGAGTTATAATGTCAGAACTGCGAGATATAAACTAGCAATTGTAACAAAATAGTCAGTTTTTCCATAGAATTGGAATCTATAACTCGCAACTGCGAGTTTATATCTCAATTATATCTCACAAAAAAAAAGAAGTCAGAATTGCGAGGCAAAATGTGAGATGATCAATGAAAATTTAAAGGGGTCATATGATGTGATTTCAAGTTTTCCTTTCTCTTTGGAGTGTTACAAGCGGTTCGTGCATAGATAAGATTCCTAAAGTTGTAAAGACTAAAGTCTCAAACCCAAAGAGATATTCTTTATAAAAGTTAAGACTTGTCCACGCCCTCCTAAAATGACTAGTTTAAACACGCCCCCACATGTCTACATCACTGTGTGGGAAGATTTGCATAACGCTGCCCAAATGTTCACGCAAAGAAAGAAGGCGTAACTTTATTGTTGCTGCCGCTGCCGCCGCCGCCATGTTGTAAAGACGCTGTGTGTTTCGTTGCGAAAGTGAAACTACTTTGTAGAACACGAATAGAAATCAGTGGTTAAGTTGTATTTACAACACTGTTCCAGAACAGTTCAACTCAAATATTCAGATGTGTCCAGCACATTTTATGGAGGACTGTTTCCTGATCCTGGTAGAGTAGACTACAATGCCGGCTGTTCTGACTTACAGTCTGTAAGTACGTTTTTTATATTTAAAGAATTTGCCACCGATGATTCAAACGTAAGTTTTGAGCAGTGTAGAGTAGCGCTTGTTGTTTGTTGTTTCTCCGATCACAAATGCAGACATGGTTTTATGTTTACGCAGCGCGATGCAACGCAACGCGTAAAAAGACAGTATAAGTCATTATAATCCATAATTATGTCCTCACTGGATGCAACAAATGCCTTGTTTATAATGGGTTTTAATGTTTTTATCTCGTCGCTCCGGCCGGACAGGGCATCACATTATGGTAAGGGGCGTAACATTTCCATCACATGCTTGTGGTATTCGGCCAATCACAACGCACTCGATAGCTGGCCAATCAGAGCACACCTCGCTTTTTAGACTGATGAGCTTTGTAAAAATCGACGCGTTTCAGAAAGGCGGGGCATAGAGGAGAAACAATAATGTACAGTATGTGGAAAATAGTATGTTTTTTGAACCTTGAACCGCATAAACATATTTCATTATACCAAATACACAAAATAATGTTATTTTTAGCAACATCATATGACCCCTTTAAGACTGGTGGATCTAGTTGTACTTTTGAACGGACAACAATCTCATGGTAATTCATAACTCTTATGTTTTGGTGAATTGGTGGCTAATTCGTATAAAAACATATGATCTCAATCATACATTTTCGTACAATCTTCTTGCGCCCCAGTGACACAGATGTTTAGGTGTGGGCTTTCATGTCTAAAAATCGCATGTTTTCATGCTATTCACAGTACGAAATAACACAAAATCACCTTTTAAAATAGTTACGGTTTCCTGTGAGATTGGGCTGAAAAATCCAAATCACTCGATTTCAAATTTTCCACAGTTCAGAAATGTGAGATGTAAACTTGCAATTGCAAGAAAAAAGTCCGAAACTTGAGATGAAATATCGCAATTACCTTCTTTTATTTTTTATTCAGTGGTGGAAACGGGCTTCCATAGATAACAAATGAATAACTCTTAATAACAAATCACACAACATACAACCTTACCTGGCTGCATACAGTACATTAACAGTAAATATTAAGCAGTATGTACTAAAGCAAGTCTCAACAGCTTGATTGCTATACTATTGAAAATGGTAAACTACATTATAGTTCAGCAATATATTAAAAGTTGGTTATAGTACATCCTATGTAC